AAAGGACTCCCCCTCCTCGGTGTGTTGTGTGGACTTTGCATGCTGGGTAAATAAACCTGCCACTCTTTTGTGGCCACTGAGTTATTTTTAAAATTGTTATTGTTTTTTAATTAAGAATTTGTTAGGCATTGAAGATAATAAAAATGAAATAATAATTTTTAAAAATACAAAAACAGTAAAAAAAACAAATACAGTAAAAAATAATTTGGGAATACATTTGTAATTTTAAAGAAAGATATAATCTCAGATATATATATTCAATATTTTTGCCCGGGCACACATTTTATAGAGAAAGATAATCTGTTAGGAATTATTTTGTTCATATAATTAAAAAAGGGAGATCAATTAACTGAATAGTGTTGGAGTAGATGATCTCAGTGTTATCTTCCAATTCTGTTTATATAAAATCTGAATAAAACCTTCTTTCACTGAAGGATTCTTTGGATTTTTAAAAAAAAATTATGTATTTTAGAAGCTATGCAGTACCTTCCCTTTGGTAATTGCTCACCTACTAGTGAGCTTTGTGATTTTTATTGGTCTGGGCCTCGTGCTTAATCTGAAGACGAAAGACTGCTTTAGATGCTGTATTAGCTACTGAGCCTACTGGGCAGTAGCTAATATAACGTATAATGTGTTATTCCCTGTACCTTTAAATACTATGGTGTCTAAGAAAGATGTAAATCTGACAGCTACCAGAAAAATGAATTAAAGAATAAAATATTTTTTTGTCTTAAAAACATTTGTTCAAATTCTACAGGTATTTGTTCAAATACCTACTACGTAGGTATTACTACCAAAAATAGTAATGGGTACCAACTTATTACTGTACAATCCTCCAAATCAATCTAGAAGTATGTTGATTGATATAACATTAATTTAGAAGAGTATTATACTACAAGTAGTCAATTTTTATGACAAGCTGAAATTTAGTTAAATGGAGTTTTGTATGATGAACAGTTCCAAACTGATTCACTAAGATCAAATCCAAAATATTCTTCAGGCTATT